ACACGGCTACACACAGCTTCTCATGTAGCTACAGAAAGCCACTTTGAAACCATTACGCCTACATACAACTACAGGGCTGTACTAAACAACACACAATTACATGCATACAACCATACATGACAACAAACAACTATACAGCAACCACTCGCAATCACTTGGAACCACACACAGCCATGCACACACCAGCACACTCCGCATAACTACACAACAATAATATACAGCTGCAGACAACCACCTCTCAATACAGAAACACGCACGCATTCCCAACGATTTATTGTAAAACCTCTGTCGTGACTCACAACCGCACAAAGCTACGCCTGAACAACTTACGCCCACCCACACAAACAATACGGTGGATCGCCTATTCAGCTATACAGACCATAGGGGGAAATGTGGTTGGCGAGCACCTATTAAAGCCAGCACGATGCACGAACATCACGGTGTAGCCAGAACCACGGCCGGCCACCTCTTCGTCCCCAGTGCTGATATGTTCACGACTGCACTCCGCCACACCCTGTATTCATTTAAGGCTGAGTCGACCTTGGTCTGGAGGGGGCCGTGCATTCACACAGGTTCCCTAGAACTGACGTGCATCTTGGCCAGGGGTTGAACCAGTTTTGTGGTGTTTGGAGGGCAGTGTCCTTTGATGCCACTGCGCCACCAATAGCACGGAAGGCTAAGATGGGGGCTTCATTTTCAGCCAAGGTCTGTCTGGGTCGGTGATCGGGAAAATATGTACTCGCCTCGCCCACCACATCCAGTATGCCTCTCGCTATGGCTACGGCTACTCCTGGTCGAGCCACGTGCCACCTACTTCAGTCTGACCAGCGACCCGGCAAATAATCATTGAAAAATAAAGGTCCGTAAGACATCTTTTTCAAAATCGTTGGCTTGAGTCGAGTGACCCCCCCAAATCTCTCGGCATCTTCACCGCTGTCCTCACACCTCACACCGCCCTAGTTAGACTCCCTCTGTTTCTGGCGCCAGCTCCACCGGAACAAAAGCCGTGTTTGCTAACAATGGCGCTGACCAAACGGGGAAGGTCACGAGCGCGTTTTTTTGCGGTTTATCATTGGGCATATTTTTGCAATCGTCGGCAGCAAGCGGCGTCGGCGGCGTTATTAATGTGACGAGTCATATTTTGTTTGTTTTTAAACATTTAGACCGGCTGATGTAGCGCGTGTCGGCGGCGGAGGTGGCGCTTGTACGCGCGGTCGACGCGTGCGTGCGTGCGTGCGTGCGTGATCGACGTTTCGTTTTCCGAGTTGGGCCCAGAGGGCCTTCATCCTGTTTTTGTGTGGCGGAAAGAGAAGCGGGAAGTCTGGGTGTTTGGACGTTGGGGCCAGGAGGTGGCAGGCCATTGGGGTTGGTGAACAACAGGCGTGCATGTGGAGAGAAGGAATGTCAGTTTTCACAGTTGTGCTGCGTAAGGCTTCGATGAGTTCCCAGTTTGTACCGCGTGTTGTTCGGCCACGACGTCCGACGTTTCGCTCCACGTGCCGGGAGCGTTCTTCAGGAACCGAATTGTTCGAAACGGTGCACGGCACAACCCAAAAACATCGGAGGGTGGGGAATACCGCCACGGGGAGAGAAGGGGGGAGGCACGTGGAGGGGGCAGCAACAGGGGGAAGCGTGAATAGGAAGCTTTGAGCCGGCCTGGTCCAGTGACCCAGTGACCTCCCTGCCCATCAATACTGCTTGTGTTCCAAAAACCCGGGGGTGGGGTAGAGCTGGCGGGGGGGGGGGGGGTTCATCGCTCGCCCTCATCCCCTCCTCGTGCCATGCCCGACGACTTGTTCGCAAACACGCCAGGAATATAACATTTCCCGTGGCTATGGTGAAATTTGTGCTGTCACCAAGCGAGCGAGCGGAGGGAAAGGGCTTTGTGGCCGTGGGTTCGTGGGGAAGTTACCATTTCACAAAAAAGAATTAGGGTCATCGGCAAAATTTAATTCAAGTTTTAGTTTAATTTGCCTGCCTGCCTCGCGCACACCCTGAAGTGCAGACGGGAATGCCGGCGAGTGGCTGCACCCCGTGGTGGAGTTTGGCGGCGTTGGGAAAGAGTGGTGGTGGTGGGGGAGGGGGGGGGTGGCTGGGTGGCACGTAAAAAAATTTCGCCCATTAAATAGCCGCACATTTGGTCGTTCGAGGTCTTCGGTCGAATTCACCGCAGGTCCACGAAGCCCCCCCCCCCCCCCCCCCGTCTCTGCCTATTCCTGCTGCCCCCCCCCCCCCACCCACATCATGTCCTGTACAGTAAAAACCAGATGCCGTTCAAGGATTAAACGAAAAACACAAAAAAAAGATAAAATAGCAAAACAATAAAAAATCAAAACAAAAGAAATAAGCGGCTACTCGTCGTCTATGTTCGGGCGGTACGCGCGAGGCGACGGCGCGGATTGTCTCGTTAATGCGTGCATCGTTTACATTTTTGAAGGGCTAGGGAGGGGTGGGGGTGGTGTTGGCACATGTGGCTTTAGAGGTAATGGTTGGTGGATCACCTAGTTACCATCTTAGGGTCAATGCTGGAATCAGGGCTAGGGTTGGTCACAGCAGTAAGCTGGGATTATCATTAAACGGGGAAAGTGGCGGGGTTATTCTGATATTTGGGTCTAAATCGGGGCACGTGGCTGGTCTTCGTAACAGTCCTAAGCTGGTTTATCCCCTAGCTGGGCAAGTGACAGCTAAGATTTGCCATCTAACCCTAAGGCTTTGGAGGTGGCCAGATTATACAGGAAGGAACAATATGTTCCACACTGCCCACCAGGGATGTTTTGTCTGTCGTGCATAAATATATAATACAAACAGCTCTTTGATTGGTGGAGACCTACTGAGGGGGGGGGGGGGGGTCAGAGGGGGGGGTAAGGGCCTAAGCAAGGGGGAGGGGCCGATAGTTAAGGCAGCTGGCTACCTGGCTGACTGCCTGGCTACCTAAAGTCAAGTTATCTTCTATACAGGTAGGAACAACAGGTTCCACACTGCCCACCAGGGATTATTTGTCTGTCGTGCACGAATGCGCTGTCCAACCAAGTTCCTACCTGCCCACTCCGAAGGAACGTGTTGCAAGTGGTGTTTGTGAGCCTGTCCCATGCGGATCTTTGAGCATTTACTCTGACACAAAAGCACCTTCACGATCAAAACACCCATCGCAAGCAACTTCGGAATCACAACCACACCGTTCGTATGGATGCTGATGGAGATGCAGAGCAACAACTACAATTTCACATTGAGGTGGTCAAGCCAGATAACCGCGTCAGCAGCAGCGGAGTGTATCGCTGAAGACGACCACACCACCACTGCAGAATCTGTCAAAATGCCACAACACGGGTTCTTGGTGTCATCTTTATTAAGAACGGTATCAAATGGTACAAAGTCGACCGTAACATCCAATTAAGTACAATTTTAACTGCAAACATGTGTAATACGACTTCCTTACAAAGACTATATTTTAAAAAGGATCTTACTATACTTTAGCGCTTAAGAGCGAGTCTAGTTAATTCCCAAAACCAAACGGCACAATGTTAGACACCCGATTCAATGGGGGCTAAGCGAAAGATGCATATGTGAAGAAGTCAAATATGTGAACATCTGTAAATGACGAGTTACACCTCCATGCACAAGCACGGGGTGTGGGCGGTTAATTGGTTAGGGAGGATATGTGGTCATGTGTATTAAAAATTATTGTGCACTCATTGATCACTTGGCTGACATAGTAGCATATTTGTGTCATAGCATTTGGATGGAGCACGGATTTGAACCCAGGACCTCAGTGGTATTGTGATCCACTCAAGTTATGTACGATCGCCACAGCCAGTGCTGAAACCTGCTAAACAGTGAATGTTGCAAAAGCAGACGGCAATATTTAATAACAAAAAAAATATGAAATTGGTGACCTTTGAAAGATTTTCTTGCAGGTTTAGTATATTTTACAAATCCGACGACATCGGAACTATCAAACCCTGTAACAACAGCTTTGGTGTCTTTGATAAATAAAGTTAATCATTGGCCAAACCTTTGGGGATGTAACCATTACCAAACTTGTTTGGCTATTTTCCATTAAACAGTGAAATTTGCATAAGTACCTCCATTTCAATTTTGTCCCATAAGATGGAATCCATTGGGAAATCTTGCAGAGCATTGCCTACCCCCCCCCCCCCCCCCCCAGTGTGCTCAAGAATAGCCCGTGGAAGGAGATATCAGAGAACCGCTTCTGAGACCTCTTACGAGTGCTCCGTGTGCTGCACTTTCCCATACGCCCCGCTGCATGGAAACACCCATCGCACACAAAACAAACCCACTGATTATCTTTATTTTTAAAGGTGGAATGTAGCCAATTTAAGACGACTACATTTAATGCCGTGAGATTTTTTTGTGTGCACTCATCGGTGACCGGGTCGTGACAATCGACTCATTGCACACGAGGACTCAGTTTCAGCAAAACTCATTCTCTGCGGGTCTAAGGGTCTCTCTGTGAGTCCACCAACTCGCTCAATTTGAGAACCCGGTCTAATCACGGGTGGCTGAAACCCAAATTCGAACCTGGATCTCAGTGGTGTGGTAGATCGAAGTCGCCTCACATGAATCCGTTTAAACATAACACATTGTCAGAATGGAGCTTATTTTATATATAGCTTGTTCGTTTTAATACAATGTTTACTTGCTAATTTACAGTAATCCAATACTGATCACAAACCATTACAATTCATTCAATTATGAGGATGGGGGGAGGGAGTGAAATGTTACAGGTTTGGTCAATAACCGAGGAAAACTGTTCCTTCGGGGAGGAGTGTTTCAAGTGACTCCTGCAGCTACGAGAGGCTGCGACGTTTACCGGAGAGGGGGAAAAACACGATTCATGAATCAACAACTGAAAATCATAACAAACCTTTGCAGATCTCGTCTCCAATGAAAATATAATGGTAAGCATTTGCATGTACTGAGCTCTTGCTTAAATGCCTTGGCAAGTCCCCAAGTGCCTTGGCAAGTCCCCAAGGCTCTCATATCAACCGTTCCAACGTCCTACTAGTGTCTTAACCAGGGGGACCCCTAGTGCCAGCTGTCCCTATGCGACGCAAGGCGTGCAAAGCATTGGCCTCCAAGCGAGCTTTAGTCTGCCAGTAATGAGCAAATAAAGTCATTTGGGAGAAACGTACCAAGTGTAGCTTATCTTAACGATTACAACTACTGCTAATCAACTAATCAGGGACTGGATAATATTTCTAACAGTCAGAAAATAACCAAACCGCTCGTCATTTAGAAATGGCCCACAAGCGATATTTATCCATCGCTGCGAGCATCTTGGCTGCGGGAATATTTTTTTATCTTCGGCAAACTTGCAAACCGCTGATCACACGGCCTCGCCGTGCGCGCCGCGATCGGCGTGAGCGCCGTGCTCCTCCAGCAGGTGAGGTTCAACCTCCTCCCCGCCCAGGAACATCAGCGCCAAGACTGCCACTCCGGTCACCAGCACGAGCGCCAGTATCACTGCCAGGCAGGACAGCACTGCACTGCCGCCACGGCCTCTCTCCTCCACGGCGTGCACCGGCGCTGCCTTCCGCTGCACGGCGCTCTGGGGCCGGGCTCGCGATCGTAGCGGCTCCTGGTGCCATGGCACTGCCGATTCTGCGCAGGTGATGGGTGTGAAGATCACGGCGTAGTTTATCACGTGGACAAACAAATGCCACCTCTGGTAATTTTATTCATAATGGTTATCTTTATATCAAAAACAGCTCGAGCCTCCCCGCACATCACGTGACATCGGTGTGGCCACCCCCACTCTGAATCCCTCGACCCTCCCCGACCCCGAGCCTTACTTGCTGATGAGACACTGTTTGTCGAAGCCAGTCCATAAACCAGTGTTGTTGGAATTATACAGCCTCACAAAGGCGTGTGGCTGACGGGAAGTTTAAAACAAAATACGTATCATTTGCTTATGTGGAGGGACAGATACGAAGGAGATATGTTGCCTGCTTATTGATTTTATCTTGGACATTGGCTCTGCGATGTGTTTTCAGGTTGTCCCGCATGTTATTGGCTGGCCGATGTTATTCGTCAGACACGCGTCGTCGTAATTTTCTGTGAGCGATTGAGGTGATGGCGCTTGGCGGTGTTGAGATGCTCACCCTCCTCCTCGGGGTCGGAGTCGTCGGTGTCGTGGGTCTTGGGGTAGCGCTGATCCTGCTGCTGCTCCTCATTCTCCTGCCCGAGTAGACGCAGCAGCTTCCGCTCGTACACGGTGCGCGTCGTGCCTAGGGAGCGGTGGTGCAGTGATTAGCGCACTGCGCTCCAAACCCAGCGACCTCGGTTCGATTCCTGCTCATGGACAACATCATGGACGAATATCTGAATAACTTTGGGGTCTTCCCTAAATCGACTCAGTCTTAAATTTCCACGTGACAAGCCACTTCGTTGAGCTATCATTTGTGGCCAGGTCGCTTCTGAAATGGAGCTACATTGCACAGTGGGCCTTACCTGGTAAAATATTTGTTTAGTTTAGTTTTGTGTACATACTGGCCTTCAGTGGTGCTTGCGAAACAGCACTTAGCCCAACTGCCTGTGTAGATCCAATGTTTCACGAGTCTCAATGGGTTTATTTCATCTCCTGGTTATTAAGGAAATGTGATACTGTGCGTTAAAGGGAGGTAAGGCGACGTCTGCCCATAACAGGGCGGGGGTAGGTGAGGACTGGAGGTGAGGAGAGAGAATGAGTAGGTGAGGACTGGAGGTGAGGAGAGTGAGGAGAGAGAGTGAGGGGGAGGTGAGGAGAGAGAGTGAGGGGGAGGTGAGGACTGGAGGTGAGGAGAGAGTGAGGGGGAGGTGAGGACTGGAGGTGAGGAGAGAGAATGAGTAGGTGAGGACTGGAGGTGAGGAGAGAGAGTGAGGAGTGGGTGAGGAGTTGGTGAGGAGAGAGTGAGGGGGAGGTGAGGACTGGAGGTGAGGAGAGAGAGTGAGGGGGAGGTGAGGACTGGAGGTGAGGAGAGAGAGTGAGGAGTAGGTGAGGGCTGGAGGTGAGGAGAGAGAGTGAGGAGTAGGTGAGGGCTGGAGGTGAGGAGAGAGAGTGAGGGGGAGGTGAGGACTGGAGGTGAGGAGAGAGAGTGAGGGGGAGGTGAGGACTGGAGGTGAGGAGAGAGAGTGAGGAGTGGGTGAGGGCTGGAGGTGAGGAGAGAGAGTGAGGAGTAGGTGAGGACTGGAGGTGAGGAGAGAGAGTGAGGAGTAGGTGAGGGCTGGAGGTGAGGAGAGAGAGTGAGGGGGAGGTGAGGACTGGAGGTGAGGAGAGAGAGTGAGGGGGAGGTGAGGACTGGAGGTGAGGAGAGAGAGTGAGGGGTAGGTGAGGGCTGGAGGTGAGGAGAGAGTGAGGGGTTGGTGAGGACTGGAGGTGAGGAGAGAGAGTGAGGAGTAGGTGAGGACTGGAGGTGAGGAGAGAGAGTGAGGGGGAGGTGAGGACTGGAGGTGAGGAGAGAGAGTGAGGAGTAGGTGAGGACTGGAGGTGAGGAGAGAGTGAGGAGTTGGTGAGGACTGGAGGTGAGGAGAGAGAGTGAGGGGGGGGGGTGAGGACTGGAGGTGAGGAGAGAGTGAGGAGTTGGTGAGGACTGGAGGTGAGGAGAGAGTGAGGAGTTGGTGAGGAGAGAGAGTGAGGGGGAGGTGAGGACTGGAGGTGAGGAGAGAGAATGAGTAGGTGAGGGCTGGAGGTGAGGAGAGAGTGAGGAGTTGGTGAGGAGAGAGAGTGAGGGGTTGGTGAGGACTGGAGGTGAGGAGAGAGTGAGGGGGGGGGGGTGAGGACTGGAGGTGAGGAGAGAGTGAGGAGTTGGTGAGGACTGGAGGTGAGGAGAGAGTGAGGGGGGGGGGTGAGGACTGGAGGTGAGGAGAGAGTGAGGAGTTGGTGAGGACTGGAGGTGAGGAGGGAGAGTGAGGGGGAGGTGAGGACTGGAGGTGAGGAGAGAGAATGAGTAGGTGAGGACTGGAGGTGAGGAGAGAGAGTGAGGAGTAGGTGAGGACTGGAGGTGAGGAGAGAGAGTGAGGGGGAGGTGAGGACTGGAGGTGAGGAGAGAGAGTGAGGAGTAGGTGAGGGCTGGAGGTGAGGAGAGAGAGCGAGGGGAGGTGAGGACTGGAGGTGAGGAGAGAGAGTGAGGGGGGGGGGGTGAGGACTGGAGGTGAGGAGAGAGAGTGAGGAGTAGGTGAGGACTGGAGGTGAGGAGAGAGTGAGGAGTTGGTGAGGACTGGAGGTGAGGAGAGAGAGTGAGGGGGGGGGGTGAGGACTGGAGGTGAGGAGAGAGTGAGGGGTTGGTGAGGACTGGAGGTGAGGAGAAAGAGTGAGGAGTAGGTGAGGACTGGAGGTGAGGAGAAAGAGTGAGGAGTGGGTGAGGACTGGAGGTGAGGAGAAAGAGTGAGGAGTGGGTGAGGACTGGAGGTGAGGAGAGTGAGGAGTGGGTGAGGACTGGAGGTGAGGAGAGAAAGTGAGGAGTTGGTGAGGAGAGAGAGCGAGGGGGAGGTGAGGACTGGAGGTGAGGAGAGAGAGTGAGGGGGGGGGGTGAGGACTGGAGGTGAGGAGAGAGAGTGAGGAGTAGGTGAGGACTGGAGGTGAGGAGAAAGAGTGAGGAGTGGGTGAGGACTGGAGGTGAGGAGAGTGAGGAGTGGGTGAGGACTGGAGGTGAGGAGAGAAAGTGAGGAGTTGGTGAGGAGAGAGAGCGAGGGGGAGGTGAGGACTGGAGGTGAGGAGAGAGAGTGAGGGGGGGGGGTGAGGACTGGAGGTGAGGAGAGAGTGAGGGGGGGGGTGAGGACTGGAGGTGAGGAGAGAGAGTGAGGGGGAGGTGAGGACTGGAGGTGAGGAGGGAGAGTGAGGGGTTGGTGAGGGCTGGAGGTGAGCTCTGTGAGCCCTGGCTTGGTGTGCGCACCACATGTGATGGGTCCTGGGTGCTCTCCCAAATCCAGGAGCTTCTCCCTCAGCTCCTGGTTGCTCAGCGCCGAGACATCCATTGGTGCCGCTGGCCCTCAAGCTGACTTCTGCTGCACAACAAGAAACCATTATACGGCGATTATTCATCAGAGAAAGCCTCACAGAGACTCTAAATCATCAGACATGATCTATCTACTGCTGAATGGTAAAAAAACTTTTTTAAACAAAAAGAAGCAATGGAATGACATCAGGAACAATGTTAATTGGTTCTCGATTTGAAGCTTACCATATGAATAAAAAGTGTGCTGCACTTGGCCCTTCCCCCCCTCTCCAACCATTATATAAACGGAGTGGTAGCTCCTGCAATCTCTCATTTACTTGATACAGCTGTCGTGGCTGTGACGGTTCCACCTGAAGACGGAAGCTTGTGTTGCCTCCGAAACGTCGTGATTTTTATTTTATTTTACTTTTATAAATTTTAATGTTTTACCTACGTGACTTTACCGAAAAAACCTAAGAAAAATGTTAATTGGGTCTCACTTGGTGGAATAAAGATTACTAATTATAAATCTCAATGGTATTTCATCTGGTTAAATGAAGGGCGTGCATTGCACTTTAGGGAACTGCACATATTGAGCTTCATGTCCATAAATATAAATTACTGCTCGTCGACAACATCGATTTAAATCACAACGGTGTGGTAATTATGTACAAGCTGAAATTATTGAGTCATAATTTGCAGAAAAATATAAATTGCTTTATATTAATGCTGAATTACCTCACACGTGAATAAGCGTAAATTCAATGCATTTTCAATAACATCAAACGTTTTGATTTAAAGCTTTCGTGACTGCAGGGATTCATATTCTTGGCTCTTTCGGTAAAGTCACGTACAAGGGAAATAATAAAATAATATTAATATAAAACTATATTATTTTATCATTTCCCTTCTACGTGACTTTACCGAAAGAACCAATAACATCAAACGTTTTGATTTAAAGCTTTCGTGACTGCATGGATTCATATTCTTGGCTCTTTCGGTAAAGTCACGTAGAAGGGAAATAATAAAATAATATAAATAAAAGCCAATATTATTTTATTATTTCCCTTTTACGTGACTTTACCGAAAGAACCAATAACATCAAACGTTTTGATTTAAAGCTTTCGTGACTGCAGGGATTCATATTCTTGGCTCTTTCGGTAAAGTCACGTAGAAGGGAAATAATAAAATAATATAAATATAAAACTATATTATTTTATCATTTCCTTTCTACGTGACTTTACCGAAAGAACCAATAACATCAAACGTTTTGATTTAAAGCTTTCGTGACTGCAGGGATTCATATTCTTGGCTCTTTCGGTAAAGTCACGTAGAAGGGAAATAATAAAATAATATAAATATAAAACTATATTATTTTATCATTTCCCTTCTACGTGACTTTACCGAAAGAACCAATAACATCAAACGTTTTGATTTAAAGCTTTCGTGACTGCAGGGATTCATATTCTTGGCTCTTTCGGTAAAGTCACGTAGAAGGGAAATAATAAAATAATATAAATATAAAACTATATTATTTTATCATTTCCCTTCTACGTGACTTTACCGAAAGAACCAATAACATCAAACGTTTTGATTTAAAGCTTTCGTGACTGCATGGATTCATATTCTTGGCTCTTTCGGTAAAGTCACGTCGAAGGGAAATAATAAAATAATATAAATAAAAGCCAATATTATTTTATTATTTCCCTTTTACGTGACTTTACCGAAAGAACCAATAACATCAAACGTTTTGATCGTATATCACAGCGTGCCATAACGCCCTCCCACGTTACAGCCTGCTAACAGGTCCACTCCACTGCTGGATGAGTGAGTGCCTCCACGCCGTTGCTGGCCCACGTGCGTTTTAAAACAGGACCCTGCGGGGTGGGCTGGTAGGAACGAATAACCAAAGAATATAAACATAATGTACTATTACACTTGTTTAGCCAGGAAAGCCCCACTGAGTCTACAGGTTTTTGTAGGGTCCTGCCAAGTGTTTGCAGTAGGGGGCGATGTTGCTACACCTAATCGTACGATACGAAGGGAGAGTTTGAGGCCTAGTTCTAGGCTTTAGGCCTAGCTGTAGGCTTTAGGCCGCCGTGAGTTAATTTTTAATTTAAATGTTTTTATTATTTATGTAAAAGCTTTAAATGTTTCTATTTAAAAGCATCAGGGAATGTAACATTGTTAAACATTAACTCCCTTGCACACACGCGGGGGTACGATACGAAGGGAGAGTTTGAGGCGTTGTTCGAGGCTTTAGGCCTATCTGTAGGCTTTAGGCCGCTGTGAGTTAAATTTTAATTTAAAAGTTTTAATTAAAAGCTATCTCAGGGAATTATAAGGGAATGTTACACTTGTTTAGCCAGGAAAGCGTCACTGAGTCTAAAGGTTTTTGTAGGGTCATGCCAAGTGTTTGCAGTAGAGGGCGATGTTGCTACACGGACGGACGATATAATCTTTTGTAGGCTGGTTCACTTCGTTCCTACCAGTATAAATCAGCCATAATTCACCACGCCGCTGCAGGCATGATGGGGGGGGGGGACATATAGCCCGTGGGAGCATAGAAGTACAGCAAACACAGCGACGCTGCACCGTACGCGTGAACACAAGACGATGATGATGCTGCTGCTGTTGCTGCTGTCACGCACGATACAGGCCCATCCACGAAACTTGTCCCAGACTGTCGGCCTAACACCCCCTCCCATGCTCACGATCGTAGCTTAAGCTCCTGTGGTGGGGAGTATGTATAGGTAACAAAGCGTCGTGGGAAGGCATGAAGTCAAAATCCGCGTGAACATAACCTGGCCGACGTACTGACTGACTTGGTCCACAAACTCGATCGGTCCCCGGCTCGGTCGGGCGAGTCGAGGCGCGGTTGGGTCCAAGTTGTTTGCGATGTTTGCGGGGTTCTTACTATTTCTGCCCCGAAGCTATCCCCCCCCTCCTCCTCCTCCCCCACCACCACCACCTCTGGTGGGTTGGAGGAGTTCGCCTCCACTGGCAAGTGGCGTGAGGGTGTTCGCGAAAAACCAAAATAAACTAGCGCGATGTCGCCCCGTTGGCGCCTCTTGCGAAGCCCAGGCCTGCTGCGTTGACCTATTAATGGTATCATTTACAACGCCGCGGCCGCTGCTCTCCGTCGTCCGCCGGCGGCGTAGCGGCGGAGCGTGATTAGAATTCACACAGTGGATAAGGGTGCGTCTATAAATGACGTCATGCGATTTTGACCCCCCCCCCCTCGTCACATGGCGTCACAAAAAGTCAGACCCCCCCTTAAAATATGACGTCACAAATCTCTGCACCCCCCCCCTTAAAAACCATATTTCCATTTTTAAAATAAAACACGCTTCAAATCGCTTTAAACTATTATCATTGTAGTGCGTATTTAATGTGGCGCTGCACTGATGTTGTAGGAGTGTTATAACAATTAGTGTTGTTATAACAATTCTATATTTATATTCTTGGTTCTTTCGGTAAAGTCACGTAGAAGGGAAATAATACAATAATAAAAATACAAAACAATAAAAAATATCATTTTATTATTTCCCTTCTACGTGCCTTTACCGAAAGAACCAAGAATACGAATCCCTCAATTTAACACGTAGGCTTTAAATTAAAATTTAATTCCATATTTATTTAAAGTTGCGCATTTTGATGTGACGTCACATTTCTCACCCCCCCGTCACACACAGTCACAAATCTCTGACCCCCCTCCCCCCCTAGGTGCGTGACGTCATTTATGGACGGCCCTAAGGGCAGCATTAGCTGCCCGGTCTCCTCCCACGCGCGCTGCAGCGCCCAATTCCATTCGAGCTCCAAGGGCGTTTCCTCAATAGCGCTGTGGATGTCGTCTTAAAATGAGTTTTTTTTGGGGGGGGGCGGATTAATATACCCCCTATAATCACCCAGGAATGTCCTTAACGCTCGTGACGTCACTCCACATCGACCAGCCCCCCTCATTAATATTCATGAGCAGGTGACGTCCTCCAAATGGTCACCCCCCCCACCCCTCCTCATTAATAATCATGAGCGGGTGACGTCACTGAACATCCAACAGCCCCCCTCATTAATATTCATGAGCAGGTGACGTCCTGTTCTTCACCTGAGGACGGCTGCTTGCGTTGTGGCCGAAACGTCGTGAGAATTATTTTATTATGTTTTATTTTATTTATTTTATTATTTCCATTCTACGTGACTTTACCGAAAGAACCAAGAAGATGAATCCCTGCAGTCACGAAAGCTTTTAATCGAAAAATAAAACAGGTGTTAAGATGTTAAACACCAAACCTTTTTCCAGGAATCAAATCAAACACACATGCTCTCATATTTGATATGCATTGTCGTTTAAATTGATTGTCCTACACCAGAGACAGCCTTATGGTTTGCGTGTTCACAAGTACTGTGTGGTTAAGGGGCCGTCCATAAATGACGTCACGCACCTAGGGGGGGGGTCAGACATGTGTGACGATGTGTGACGAGTGGGGGGGGGGGGTGAGAAATGTGACGTCACATCAAAATGCGCAAATTTAAATAAATATAGAATTGTTATAACAACACCAATTGTTATAACAACACTCCTACAACATCAGAGTGCAGCGCCACATTAAATACGCACTACAATGACAATAGTTTAAAGTGATTTGAAGCATCTTTTATTTTCAAAATGGAAATATGGTTTTGGGGGGGGGCAGAGCTTTGTGACGTCATATTTGAGGGGGGGTCTGACTTTTTGTGACGCCGTGTGACGAGGGGGGGGGGGGTCAAAAATCGTCCAAAATTGCGTGACGTCATTTATGGACGGCCCCTAATACAGTAACTTGATTCCTTGTAAAAAGATACCTCATTTGGTGTTCGAACATCTTAACACAAACTCCTATTTTATTTGCCAGAAAAGTGACAGAACACCTCTTATTATTTTTATTGTTTCATACTCCGACACTGGCAACAGCAGCAGCAACACCAACAACACCAACAACTCTTAGGTTTTTTCGGTAAAGTCACGTAGGTAAAAGCATAATAATAATAAAATAATAATAAATGAACAATTACTACACTTTTTATTATTATTATTTTTACCTACGTAACTTTACCGAAAAAACCTAAGAGTATGAATCCTTGCAGTCACGAAAGCTTCAAATCTAGAATTAACACCAACAACAGCAACAACATCAAAAGGTTTCCCATAATTAAATGCAAATTAACCGGTTTAAAGATTTTGATTTAAAGCTTTCGTGACTGCAGGGATTCATATTCTTGGTTCTTTCGGTAAAGTCACGTAGAAGGGAAATAATAAAATAAGAAAAATATAAAACAATACAAATTTTTTTTCAAATGTTCTTGCTGTGGATTTCACACCTGATGATGATTGCTTGTGTTGCATTCGAAACGTCGTGAGAAATTTGTATTGTTTAATATTTTTATTATTTTATTATTTTACCAGTTTACTATTTGACAATTTTATTATTTTATTTTATTATTATTTTGTGGTATTATTGTATCATTTTGGTGTTTTTTTATTATTATTTTATTTCCCTTCCACGTTACTTTACCCGAAAAAGAACCAAGAATACGGTTTAAAGCTCTTCAAAGAGACGGCCGCTCATTGGTTGGCGCCTAAACGCGCGCGCGACCAATGGGCGTCGAGTAACGGGGCCCCGCGCGCCGGGTGCGCGCGCGCGCTTCCCCCCCCCCCCACTCAGTCGACGTGAGGGGCGCCCGCCGAGAAGGTGAATTTCTCCCGTCGACGATTTAAAATTTACCGCCGGCGAATTGTTTATAACATTTTTTTTTTGCTAAGGCGGGTGGGTAAATGTACTCGCCTCGTGTTGAGTTGTTGAGTTCGCCGCGTGTGCGAGCGTCGTCGTGATAGTTTATTCGCGTTAACGCTGCCGTTGCTGCGTTGGCTAATAGTGTCACTGTACTATCTTACAGTGCTGTTCTAATTAATCCGAAGTTAATCGTGTAGTGTGGGTTAATTGTAGCGGTAATGTTATTTTTTTAATGTACTATTGGCACGGCTATTGTTGTTACTTGCGTGTGTTGTTGTAAGTACAATTTTTGCAATCTTTTAAAACATTAACTTTGCCTCACGTTTGAAGTTAACTTGACTATTTACACACACTGTTTAGTTTTAAACTGCGTGTGTTAATGTTAGTCTTCGCAGTGTTTATGTGTAACTCTGTTCCTGTGTTTATATTGGCGGCAGTTTACGTAAATTAAATCTCTGTGACGTCGGCAAGAGTTTAACATTATGTGTCGCTTTGCGTTGACACGCGTAAACATTAAGTGTATAACAAATTTCTTAACAATATCTGGTTTTTTTACTGTCAAGAACATTCAGTGAATAACAAATGTCTTAACAAAATCTGGTGTTTTTACTGTCAACATTAAGTGGATAACAAGTGTCTTAACAAAATCTGGTGTTTTTACTGTCAAGATCTCAAGGTTTTAGTTTAAAAAAAAACATTGCGGACTTTTTTCTTCTTGGTTCTTTCGGTAAAGTCACGTAGAAGGGAAGTAATAAAATTATAAAAACAAAACAATACAATAATTCTCACGACGTCGTGAGAATTATTTTATTATTATGTTTCTTTTTACCGAAAGAACCAACAAGATGAATCCCTGCAGTCACGAAAGCTTTAAATCGAAAAAATTGCGGACTTTATTCACGTTTTGATTGAACCTGTTCTTATCTCTTAATTCTAGATTTGAAGTTTTCGTGACTGCAAGGGTCCATCATACTCTTTCTTTTTTTCGGTAAAGTCACGTAGGAAAAAAAAACAAGCTTGTTTTGCCTCCGAAACGTTGTGATTTAATTTATTTTAATTTTATTTTTTACCTACGTGACTTTACCGAAAAAAAACAAAGAGTCTGTTCTCATCTGTTCGTCATTCCATTAATCCGCGAGTCTGTTAATCTCTGTAAGTCTATTTATTTGTCCATTCGTATATCTCAGTCCGTCTGTCAGTTTGTCCGAATATACTTGCCAATGTTTCTGTATCGCAGTCAGCCTATCTGCTTATCTCATAATTATCAACCCGCTGCTAGATGAAGGCATCATCAGGCCGTTACCATAATCGCCGTGGTGGCTATGAGATGTTAACTACCTCGCCTGGTGTACAGGAGGTCGTAGGTTCGATCCCGACCCTGACACCTGCTGTATATCATCATCAACACGGTGGCTAGGAGATGTTAACTACCTCACCTGGTGTACAGGAGGTCGTGGGTTCGGTCCTGACCCTGACACCTGCTGTATATCATCATCACCACGGTGGCTAGGAGATGTTAACTACCTCGCCTGGTTTACAGGAGGTCGTGGGTTCGATCCCGACCCTGACGCCTGCTGCTGCTGTATATTTGGAGTTTGCGTGTCTCTCTCATCATCATCATCACGGTGGCTCGGAGATGTTAACTACCTCGACTGGTATACAGGAGGTCGTGGATTCGATTCCCACCCTGACGCCTGCTGCTGTATATTTGGAGTTTGCGTCTCTGTCTCATCATCACGGTGGCTAGGAGATGTTAACTACCTCGGCTGGTATACAGGAGGTCGTGGGTTCGATCCCGACCCTGACGCCTGCTGCTGTATATTTGGAGTTTGCGTGTCTCTCTCATCATCATCATCACGGTGGCTAGGAGATGTTAACTACCTCGACTGGTATACAGGAGGTCGTGGATTCGATTCCCACCCTGACGCCTGCTGCTGCTGTATATTTGGAGTTTGCGTGTCCCTCTCTCTCCCCGTGGACGCGTGGAATTTTTGTACGGGCCCTCTGGTTTTCCCCTCCACATTTAGAATCCACGTGCTTTTAGAGTATTTGGCTGCTATAAATTTCCACGTAATAAGCCACTTGGTTGAGCTACCATCTGTGGCCAAGTCGCTTCTGAACAAGAGCGATATAGCTCAGTGGGCCTTACCTGGTGAAATAAAAAGTTTAGTCGTCTAGAGCGTGTTTTCCTCTCTTTGCCAGTGGAGTTAGTCTTGACCCCTGGCCCAATATTCCTTGTAGTGCTGACGTGTCTCGTCCAAGCCCACTTATTATTCCTAACAGTCAATGTATATCTTTAACTTGCGTATGTGTTATCTGATCATATTCCAACGTCCTGACAATGC